ATGTTATGAATTTTTCATTTGTGATTTAGCTATAATGAGATTGGTATTTTTTTTTGTGAGGGTTGGCCTCTTTAATTAGGGTGCTGCCTTCAGACCCGGGGCTTTTAAGCACTCTGATCAGGGCCTCCCTGATCTTTGGAATACCACAGTTGCTGTAAGCCTCTAATACTGCTTTGGCTCTTCGAGCTTTTTTTTTTTTGAGCTTCCAGACAATTTTGTTTTTACCAGATGAAGCCTGCCTGCTTGGAGGCTACATGCTTTAGGTCACCAGTTTTTTAGAACTGCTGGCTCCCAAAGAAATTACTGTTATAGGTAGTGAAGGTAGGTGTCTCACAATTGGTTGTCTTGTCATCTTCTCCAAGTTCTCTGATACCATCAGCTTCCTGCAGTGATATGCCAAAACTGCTGCAGGCTCCATACTGAGAGGAATCAACTTTCAGTTGGAGGCTGTGTTACAGAGTTCCTTTGTCTGGCTTTCACTATTTTATCTTTTATATTCTACATTCCATTTTGTTCCACAAGAAATGGGGAACAATCTCCATCCAATAGAGCCCCATGCCAGTGGAAGGCATTAATATGACAGGATGCTGCCTGGTACCCCGAAGGGATTGTTATTGACAGTGCTGTCAACTCCAGTGCCTTGCAACTTTCAGTACAGTGCCTCACATCTTGGCTTTGGTGGAACATAGCCCTGTTCGCTGTCCAAAGATGTTAACCACCCCCTTGCAATAAGAACACCAAATATTGTATTTTGGAAAGCTATTTTAACATTACAAATATATCACTGAGCTCTTTTTGCATTCTGAATTTTTTCATGTCATATTTAGCCATACTGCCCCAGATTTGAGTTCAGCATGACTGATATGGTTTATTATTCCACAATGAACTTCAAGGAGCATGTTCTTTTTTAGTCTGGTATATCTTTTAAAATGAAGAATACCAGAAGTTACTTTGTTTTTGCATGATTCACACAATCTTCAAATTAGAAGTCATCATACTTAAAAAAATATAGAAAAATTCATTTTATTTAGAAGTATGCCATTTGAATGAGTGTTAAGAGTTCAAATATCCCTGGACTTTGTTTTATCAACATTAAATTTAAGGAAATGTGACAAATTGGCAAATTTAGAGAGAACTCTTGACTGTCACTCCTCACTGTTGCTATGTGATTAGCCCATCTTGCTGTAGCAACTGATGGCCTCATTAGAGATGCACATGCTATCCTTTTAAACTTATGCACGTACTCTTATTTTTTTAATGAAGCGCCACAGAATTTTCTCTACAATTTAGCATGGGTAATACGTTTGTTTCTGGTTATCTAACATTTGTTCCCTGAGGTGGAAAAATATATCTAAGGATAGTCAACCTCTGGGACTACCCGGATGTGAAGCGACTGCTTACAACTTGTCTGTGGCATGCAGTGTTGTAGTGCCACAGAAATGAATGAAGTAGTATACAGATTTACTTTCTGGTATTGGCTAGTTCATTGACCTATTAAGTTTTCTTTATGTAGAACACAGAAGGCTTTTTTGTATCATTTTTCTTTTTGTGAACTTACTTTATTAATGTTTTATACTGAAAGCTGTCATAAATTATATGTGCAAATGTTAATTTTTTTGGCCACTTGTAAACACAGTCTGTTATTTGATAAGAAATTAGTGATTCTGAAACCACATTTGACAAAGCCTTTTAGTTTCATGAGTTTGGTGTGGAAATTCTGTGGTTTTGCTTTGTGATTGACAGTCAGATCCAAATTATAACACTAGAATCAGTAAGTACCAGGGTAATTAATACTGCCATTCAGACTCTGGCACTTTAAGGAACAGTGTTTGTGGAGTAACGTATACAACAGAATCATGCACAGTCTTGTGTTGAGGGTGAATATATATATTCAACGTTCGGTATGTAAAATCCTCACACACTGTCACTTGTTATGTGAAGAATGTTGTTATTGTAGAACTTTAATTATGGTGAAGTCGTATAGTATTAAAGTACATTTTTTATCATCATGTAAAGTGAAGTTTCCACCACAAATTAATTTTTAATTATGAAATCCCTAAAAGTGTAGCATTAATCATTGACTCGTAAGTAAATGTTAGGATGTAGTAAATGAGTGCAGCATATTATTACCCATATACATCGCTAAAATAGCAGCCCCACTACATGCCATGTAGGTCGCTTGAAGGGAGGGCAGATGTAACTCCTACTCATTCTTGAACTTGGCACTAGATGGGGGTGAGTGCATCACGCCCCGGCCGCACTTTATTAAATACCTCCGGGAAAGGACGCCAACATCCATTGGATAGGAGCTTGGGTGGGCCCCAGAGCCTGTCTGAACGCAGAGGCTAGAGGAAGAATCCTTTGCCCCCTTCGGGTATCGAACCCCCAGTCGTCCGGTCCGTAGCTAATCACTGTACTGACAGAGTTATCCCGGCTCCATATACACCAGTAACAATAACAACAACAACAACAATAATAATAATAATCGTAATAATAACAACAGCTGTCGATTTTTGGAATACATGCAGAAGTACGATAGTTTTTTAAAATTTTCTCAAACGTTGAAATAGCAAAAATAAATTTTAAATTTTAAATGACACTTTAAAAACATCGGGAGATGATATATTGGTTTGAAGTTTTAATAAACTATTGCCCAAATGTTTTGCACCCAAAGTGTGCTAATGCCAAGAGGTTATCTTGCTAGTATTAGAACGTGAGGTATTTACAGAAGGTGACCATTTCGGGAAAAAATATATATAAATGAGATTTGATATTTTCACAGTGGTGCAGACGATGCTGCTGTTCTGGGTTTTGGCGCCGTGTAAACTCCTCGATATATACCAACGTTTCGGAGAATCGTATTGTATCCATCTTCAGGGCTTAAGTAATCCCGAGCCACTAATTTCTTATTGTGGTCGGGCTAGCGATTATTCTGATTTTATTAAGTATTTATATGTGTATGGGGCCCTTAAAATTGTTTCCGATCAGCTCCTGTCAAATCTTTGTGCTCCCGACTATTCATGTTTATCTTTCAAGCACGTTCATGTTATATATTCTTTGAAATTGAAAGAGCATCGTGAAAGAAGCTAAGCATCAGCAATTTTTCTCTGTTTCCTCGAATTACACTGAACCCCGTGACAGCTCAGTAATTGTGACTGGCTGCGGGTTGGACGACCAAATCTCATCAATTGCAGGGATTTTTCTCTCGCCGTCGCCTTCAGACCGACTGATGGGCCCGCCCAGTTTAATGTCTGATGATTTTAATTTGCGTTAATTTTATTGTATTCTTTAGTCGGTTGTCCCAATTTCCTGTTGATATAACTGTTCATTAATTTATTCTGTGTCTTCATCATCCGTCACGGGGGGAGGGGGGTGGAGGAAGGGAGGATTGTTATCGTTATACCAAAATAACACAGCTGATGATTAGACGGACTTTGCGCAGGAGTATTCGGGTTGACATCGAGTCTCCCTTTCATAATTCTAATTGATTTATTGGTCTTCAATTATAGTGCTTTGAAACTGAAAAATGCGAAGAATTGTGTGAAGAAACCACAAAAATGCTGGAATGTATTTGATCAGTGACCCTGTCTATATGCAGTTAGTGAATATACGGGGTGATTCAAAAAGGACTTTACAATTTTGAAAGTGTATAGAAATTTATTCAGAAGGCTTACAGAATCGGTTGAGGTGTCATTTTTTAGCAAAACAAATCAAGTTTTACCTCAAACAGTCATTTTGGTTCGATGTGATTGCCATTGGTGATACTGCAGACATCCCACCTGAAATCAATTTATTGCCAAACACGATCCGGCATATCCGGTGTCACTTCTGAAACTGCGACGGTGATTCGAGCTTTGAGCTCAGTGAGATTGGCAGGTAAGGGTGGAACATACACATTATCTTTAATGAAACCCCATAAGAAAAAATCGAGAGGTGTAAAATCTGGAGAACGAGGTGGCCATGCTATCGACCCTGTTCGACCAATCCACCGACCTGGGAAACGGTTATTGAGGAAATCCCGGACTTCTGTGAGGTAGTGAGGTGGTGCGCCGTCTTGCTGGAAGTGAATGCGTCCTTTTTGGTCATCTTCGTCTAACTGTGGTATGAGAAAATTTTCGAGCCATTTTCAAATGCACTGCCGCTTGCGCTCGC